TCCTGCTCCCCAGGGACACACTCTCCTAGGTCAGAGGGCAGGAGACGGAGGTGAATAAGAGGACCACACTTGGGGGGCATCCTAAACCAGAGAGGGCTTTGCTGCTTTCACGGTGCTGGCTGCACGCCAGGTGGCATCGCCCTGGGAACTGTCTCCTGCAACGGCCCACTCATGAATGGCTCCACCCACGTGGCTTACTGAAGGTCATTCATGAGAAAAGCTACAGGCTGGTGGCTGCACCATCTTCACCATCGGCGTCATCTCCACTCCACCCCACCACCAGCATGTCCTCTGCACCATCACAGGGCAGCAATGGCTAACATTTGTTGAGCGCTTACTAGACACCGGGCACAGTGCGATTGTATTTAACGGCTTTATCTCACTGACTCTTCACAGTAACATATGGGAGACATTGTTATCCCCATTTTACAGATGAGGAAATTGAGGCTCTGGAAGACTGACCAGCCAGACGCCAGCCACACAGCTCATTGGAACCTAGGTGCTCTAACTCTGAGGCCATGCCTCAGCCCTAACACTCTATTACCTCTAAGAGGTACCTGTGGAGTCTGGCTATCGCCTCACTTAGACACGTAGCAGTAGAGTGAACATTGAACTAGTTCTAGTCCAGGCTCTGCCAAGTTCACGCTGTGTGACTTGGAGCAAATCCAGGGGCCCCAGCTGCCTTCTCTGTATCGAGGGAAGAGACTGCCACTCTGCTTACCTCAGAGGGTTACAAGGCAGACCCAGGGGCTAGGAAGATGTTCTCTGGGGGCCGTGGAGGATGAGGAGGAGACAGAAATGTGAGGTGGGGTGGGGGTGCCACTTACCTCTGTCGGCCATGGTGAAGATAGAGTCCTCGGGGATGCCCACACCCAGGGCGACCTCCCTGAACTCCTGCAGCAGGCTCTCCCGGAGCTGTGGCCCCCGCCCTGTAAGTGGGAAGCAGAGAAGACTCCTAGAACCGCAGGGCCTGGGCTGGCAGGACCTGCGAGGATTTTGCCCAGGATTTTCATTAGGGGAAAGTTGAAAACCATTGGTCCAATTTGACCTCTTCAGTACAGGATGGAAAGGTCAGCTCCAGAAAAGGAAGAAGGGTCCCTCCCAACCCCCTGCTCAGGTCTCCCCACTCCCACACAGGGCTCTTCCACGGGTTCCTCCAGGCCCCGGAGGCTCTGGAATTCTCCGGTCTGGAATTTTAGACATCAAAAGAAGAGGATTCTGCCTTAAACAGGAGACTGAGTTCTGCCTCCTCCAGGCAAAGCAAATGCTCCCACGGGTCCTGTAACGGAAGTTTTATCCAAAGGAAAAAGCAAAACTCCCCGTTCCTCCCCACGCCACTGTCCCTAAGCCACGGGTCCCCTCCCACCCCCAGCTCCAAGGAGCTTAGCTGGTCCCAGGCCTTTACCGTAGAGCTTGGCAGTAATTGTGGGTCCGTGGCGGCGGCTGAATTTCTTGCTCAGAATAATGGCATACTCATCATAGTTGGTGTGGACCACATAGGACTCGATGCTGATGTTCCATTCTGCATGGGAGATGCGGGAAGACAAAGGGCTCAGCGGTCAGGAGACTCCTCTGGTCTGTGATTCTTCACCTGTCCACCCACACATCAGCTATTCAGCCACCCTGCCTACCCATCCCTTCCATATCCTTGTTTATCTATTCACCCATCTCCTCCGTGTAGTTATCATTAATTCATCGACCATCACTTCATCCATCCCTCTTCTCCATATATCAATCCATAAATGGATCCGTTTTCCTTCATCCCTCCCTCCTACCTTCCTTCTCTCTTTCCTCCATCCCTGAAATCATCAATTTATCTGTCAGATGATGATTAATTCACTTACCTGCCATTCATACATATGTTTATTCATTTACCAAACATTTGTTTGTTCTCTCACTCCAATCATCCATCTACCCAAACATTCATCTATTCAACCCGAGCACAATTAGTTAACACACAGAGCATATTCAATAAACATTTGCTGGATAAATGAATAAACGCTTGTCCAAGTCCCTCTATCACATGGCACCATGCACTCTGTACATGGTAGATGCTTGGCAAACCTTTATCAGCTGATGCCTAACATGAAGACTGATGAAATGTTGATATTATCCTCACATTGACACCATCACTCTAATTCTGGGTGTGCAGGTGTGAGGGAGTGATAGAGAGACAGAAGGAAGGAGGGAAACATGTGGAAGAAGGCTAGATGACATCTCGGGGAAAATAGGAGGAACGGTTAGAGGGGGAGCCCAGGAAAGAGAGCTGAAGACATGAAGGTATTGTCCTGCGGAGAGAGCTGTGGTGTGTCCTCTGACTCCACCTACTGGATTTGTGGTAGAGGAACTTCCCCTCGGTGTCTGTCTTCTCATAAGTCCCAGAGAGCTCCTCACAGACGCCTCTCCTGGAAGTGAAGAGACCACAGGCGAGGTAAATGCGGGTAGAGGCCATGGTCCGACACCCCTTCTCCTTCCTGTTCTTCCCAGATGTCTCTCTCTCTCTCTCTTTTTTTAATTGGAAGGTAACATTTTCAATTATCTTGTTTAACCCTCACATCAACCTTGGGGGACATCTCATCCGTTTCACATATGAGGGGATTGAGGGACAGAGAAAAAAGGGACTAACCCATGCCATCGCTTAGCAAAGCGAGTACTAAAAGTCAGCTTCCTTCACCAAATCTGCACGTCACTGAGGGGTGAAGTAATGCCTTCGTTGGTTACTCTGTGTCTCTCCTGCCCCAGTCCCCTTACGTGTGAAATGGGGGTAATGATAGTGCCTACCTCACATTGTGGCTGAGAGGATCAAGTGAGGTTTTGAATGTAAAGAGCTTAGCGTAAGCACTACGCACATCTTAGCTGTTATTGTTACAAGCATTACTTATCGAGCAGCGTCGGTGTGCCAGGCACTGTGCTACATGCTGGGGATACAGAGGAGGGCAAGACCGGCCCTGTCCCCATGTGAAGCTTACAGTTGAGTGGGACAGGGGGCAGGCCAGAGGCCGATGCAGTCAAGTGTGCCACATGCAGGAAGCATGAGGTGCTCCAAGAGCACAAAGGAAGGCATGTAACCTGAACCTGCAGTGGTCAGGGAGGGCTTCCTGGAGGAAGTGACATAGCACCTGAGTCCTGAAGGATCCATAGGAATTAGCCCAGGGAGGTGGGGAGAGGTTTTCCCAGTAGAAGGAATATATGGTGCAAAGGCCGAGAGGTAGGAGAGGATGAAGGATTCCGGGAACTGAAAGAAGGTCCCCTTGGGTGGGTCACAGAGTTCCTGGTAGAGAGTGGGGCAGGGGATGGTGAGTGCTGGGGACAGGGGGGCCTTGAAGGCCATGTCAAAGGGGTTGAATTTTATTCCCAAGGGCAGTAGGGAGCGATGGAAATGTTTCAGCAGATTTGAGTCTTTTGAAAGGTCTTTCTGGTTGCTGGGTGAAGAATGAATTGAATGGAAGGTTCGAGATTAGAGGTGGGGAGAAAAGCAGAGAGGCTGTTGTAGACAAGCAGGGAAGAAAGGGGGTGGCTTGGACCACGGCTAGTGACCGGGAAGAGGGGAGAAGTGAACAGATTGGAGAGAGTTCCGAAGAGAATGGACGGGGCTCGATGATGGGCTGACTGACAGCAGGGAGAAGGATCTAGGCCAGCCCTCTCCCGCCCAGTTCCGGGTTGGGACCCTGGTGGGTGGAAATGCCCTTACTGAGCTAAGGGATGCCCAAGAGCGAGAGCAGATTGAAGAGCTGGCATAGCGTTGGAGGCACCGCCCGCAAGGTGCAGAGGGGACGGTTAGAAAGGACGCCCTGTTGCTGGAGCAAAGCAGAGAGATCCACAGCTCAGAGGCCAGGGCCTGGCTGGAAGGAGAGGTCTGCCGCTTCCCAGGGCATGGTGGCGAGCGAAGGCAGGGTGGGGTGGGCCCTGGTCCCCCTCCCCTCCCACCCCATCCCCAAGCTCACCGCCAACGAGTAATGGTCGTGCTGATCTGCCTCTCGGTCGCTCCCTCTCTCAGCAGCAGCGCGCTCATGGTCAGCCTGTCCTTGAACCGCACCAGCCAGGGGCAGGTGGAGCCTATGGCCACGTGGAACCATTTCCCGTAGAACTAGGAGGCAGCCACAGTGCTCGAGGTTGGGACTGGCCCCTGGCCTTGAGGAAGACTTGGCAGATGTCTGCTCCCCTCCCTCCTCTGAATGACTCGATTTTTATGTGACAACGTCTTATCGCTAATTGGAGGCCACACAGCTTCAAGGGCGGATGGAGCCCCAATGGTGGAACTTCAGGCACCGTGGCAAGCCTGGAGTGGGGAGGTTCAGGCGCCCACCCCCACCCCCCCCGAAGGCCTTACTCTGCTGAGAGCTGAGGGCTGTGCTCACTGGGATGGGGTCCACAGCCTCGTGCCCTGAGGTCTCTGTCCTGCTTCTCTTTTCCCATAACCCCACATGCCCGCCTGGTGCCACCCCAGGCCTGTGAGGGCAGGGGACCCGGGACAGGCTAATGGGTGCTGTGGGATGCAGTGAGTGGTTAAAGGGTGAGGGCTGGCATTGTGGGGGGGGGGGGGGGGCTGCAGGGGTAGCAGTCCCCGTAAAACCTTCTCTGGACAGGTTCGAAGGTGAGGGCATTGGACTGGGGATGTCAGACGAGTCCCATAGAATGGCAGGTGCATGGAGTTGTCGCTTCAACAAACCCCAGACAGTCTGCGCAGGAAAAGCCTTTAGGGACCCAGCCCTGAGTTCCAGATGGGGAGAGTGAGACCCCAGCTCACCGCCGTCACCCCATCACCCGAGGCCAGCCTTACCCTGGACACGTCGAAGTTCTCTTGCACTTGGATGTTGTCCGGCAGCGTGGGCACGGGGTTGGCACTCACTGCCAGGCAGGCGGTCAGCAGCACAAACGGGGCCCCGAGACTCCACATGGCTCGGCTCCTCTACCAAGGGGGTCACTCACAGGCTCAGTGGGGACAGAGGAGCTCCCTGACCGAGGTGGCTGCAAACGGAGGCTGGGAAGGGACCTTTGGCTTATAGGTGACTTTGGTGTTTGCCCTGCTCAGCCAGGACCAATCAGGGCCCCAAGGCCAGGGCTGGTCGATCCCTGTAGTGCCCTGGCTGGGGCCAGGAGGTCTGTTTCAGAGGAGGCGTTGACCAAACACAACAGGTCAGCTGCAGCCCAGGCTGGGTTCAGTCCTAGGAAGGCTCCCCCAGAAACACCCCACCTGTCATGGGCATGTGAGGGTGAAGGACCCAGGTAGCCCTGAACTCTCTGCTCGTCATTCCACCTGGACCACCTGGGAGTCAGGAGGATGAGCCTGATTGAGCCCATTTCTCAGAAAACTGAGGCCCAGGGAGAGGAAGTGACATATCAGAGACCACAGGGAAGTCTATGACCTCCTGTCCCCAGGGTTCCTTCTCTCACCACTGCTTTCCCATAGCCCCAGCAGGTTATAGTAGAAACAATGATGACGACGACGATGATGATAGTGATGATGATGATGATAGCTTCCGTTCACTGAGCACCTGCAATGTTCCAGCACTTAACACTGACCAGGAACTGAACTCAATCCCCACAACCACCCCGTACACGAGGTGCGGGTCCCCCTCTCACAGACGGGATATGTGAGTCTCCAAGAGGTAAACGACTTGCCCAGGGTCTCACGTCTGGTTGGCGGCGTTGCTGGAGGGGGCAGCACTTGGTGTGGTTGAGAGCATGGGCTCAGGAGCCAGCCTGCCTTCTGTGCAGTCCGGGGTGCGGAGAAGTGGGAGCGGAAGCCCTGGCTCCCGGCTCTGTGTGACTCTGCAGTGACTCTCCCTCTCTGAAGCCCGCTTTCCTCGGTCCCCATTCTGTCTGCCAAGAGGCTGAGGCATGTGTGTGACAGTCCACTGTCCTGTCTGTGTGCCGGACCCAGGCGGGCCTGTCTTTGGAGACACCAGGCCTAATATAGGAATGGCCTATAACAAGGAGTCATTAATAATTGAAATAGAGCCTGGCTGTGGTGGCTCAGTGGATTGAGCATCATCCCATGGACCAAGAGATCCTGGGTTCGATTCCCAATCAGGGCACATGTCCAGGTTTCGGGCTCAATCTCCAGTAGGGGGCACGCAGGAGGCAGCTAATCAATGATTCTGTCTCATCATTGCTGTTTCTCTCTCTCTCTCTCTCTCTCTCTCTCTCTCTCTCTCTCTCTCTCTCTCTCTCTCTCTCTCTCTCTCTCTCTCTCTCTCTCTCTCTCTCTCTCTCTCTCTCTCTCTCTCTCTCTCTCTCTCTCTCTCTCTCTCTCTCTCTCTCTCTCTCCCTCTCCCTTCCTCTCTGAAATCAATAAAAATACATTTTAAAAAAAGAATCAATATTGAAAAAAACCACAGTGGAAACAGAACGCCCTATTAAGGCTGCCTTCAGCGTGCCACGAGGGCTCCCCTGACCGTCACAGCAGGTCTGCATGAGACTGTCAGGCCCCCTGGCTCACGGGAAGCCCGAGGCACACGGGGGCAGAAGAACCTGGGCCCCTTTGGACAGGGCTGCTCGTCCAGCCACGCAGCCTCTCCTGGGGGAGGGGAGAGGCCAGAGGCCCAGCCAGGATGTCGACTTCTCCTGCCTCCGGGGCTGTTTGCTCTCTCGAGATTATTAACCAGCACAGAGGGAGCAAACCCTGCCAAGGCCCACTGGACTTTGAGCTGCTTTTAAAAAATTAACCCCGGGACTCAAAGATGCACGGCTGATGTGGTCAGGGGGTGCTGACCCCTCTTTCCTCTCTGGCCATCAGGGTGGGGCGATGGAGGCTCTGGGTCCCTGTCCTCCTAGGGGACGCAGGGATCCAAGGTACCTGGCCAGATCTGGAACCATGTCAAGGGGAAGGGCCTGTGTAGGAGGCTTCAGAGCCTCAGAGGTGTCCTGAGCCGAGGGGAAGAGAGGCCTCATTATCAGATGAAAACACGGGTTCCATGCCCTGCCCGGTTTGGCTCAGTGGATGGAGCGTCGGCCTGCGGACTGGAAGGTCCCGGGTTCAATTCCGGTCAGGGGCATGTACCTGGGTTGCAGGCACATCCCCAGTGGGAGGTGTGCAGGAGGCAGCTGATCGATGTTTCTCTCTCATTGATGTTTCTAACTCTCTGTCCCTCTCCTCCCTCTCTGTAAAGAAACAATAAAAAATATTAATAAAAAAAAGAAAACACGGGTTCTGGGAGGGAATGGAACTTGTTCAAGGTCATCCAGCTTGTGGCCGAGCGGGGGGACAGATTAGACTAATGTTCAACACCCTGAGTCCCCCTTTATTCATTCGTCCAGTCATTCATTCACCAAATGCACACTGGGTGCATGAGGACAGGACGGAGAACAGGACAGGACTCCTGGTCAGGCTGGGATGGGAAGGAGGGAGGAGAAGGTGATAAGACTGGATGGCGACTGCAGTGATGGGGGAAGCTGTGGCCAGGGGAGAGGAGTCAGCCAGACAGAAGTGCATGGGGTGCGTGTGAAGAAGGTATTCCAGACAGAAGGAACAGCAACTACAAGGGCTTAGAGGAGGGAGATGGAGAGAAAAGCACTTGGAGTACAGAAACCAAACGAAAAAACCGTAGGCCAGGAGCTTGGGGGACAGAGGGGAATGGCAAGATGGGGAGGAGCTGGGCACTGGGACCTGTTTTTTGGGGTGTGGGGGAGGCCTGGTGAGTAGACCAGCAGGGACATCAAGAACATTGGGCAGAACTAAGATCAAAGGTTGTGGTCAAGGTTCAGGCCTCCCTCTGCCCATGGTGGAAGGGGGTGGCACAGAAGCTGACCCCCTTTCCCCAGGAGGAGGTAACCAGCTGCTGGCCTTGCCCCAAATGCCTGACCCTTGGACGTGGAGCCAAAGTTTGCCCATTCGTGGCAACGCGGGAGGTGAACAGCACCCCGGACTCCATGCCCGGTGACGGGAGAGGAGATGTCCTCACCGCCCATGATCTCGAGGCTTTGTTATCACCCCCCACCCTTGACCCCAAAAGCTAGACCACTCAGAGAGCTGGGTCCCAGTCCTAGTAACTTGCCTTGTGACTGTGGGGCAGTGCTTCTCTCCCTGGCCTCCCCTTCCTCATCTAGACCTCCAAACGCGGGCCATAATAACTCACGTGACCAGGCTTAAATAAGAACCAGGGAGGGGCATCTGTGAAAGTGCTCCCCAAGTGTACACACCGGAGGGACCAGCGTCATCACAGGCACTTAGCACAGCTTGGACCAGACAAGCTCCACACAGGCCGCAGAAAAGCGAAGGCATCCCATGTTCACTAGAGGGCAGCAGAGGACTGGCAGGAAGACCGCGGGATCGCTCACAGCCGGCGCAGGACAGACCTGGAGCCACGGTCCCCACCAGAGAGCTCCTCCCCAAACCTGCTTAAGATGGTCCCCGAACCTGCTTAAGATGGTGAGTGCAAAACATGCAGCATCTACCTTGCCTATCTCCACCCCGGCTACCGAGGTGGATGCTTAGTGGGGCCCCTTTACAAAGAGTTCCCTGGCGAGCCAGAATTGGGAACAGCCGCTAGAGACCACGAGGTGGCTGAACCCCGAAAAATCACTCCGTGAAGGTCCTACATAGTGCGACGTGCTGAGCACTCCAGGAGCACGTGCTACTGAGTCCTCCCAGTAAGGTGCTATCATTTTACTATGATAGTAGTCGTATTGTGCAGACGGGGAAACCGAGGCTGGGAGATCAGATATTCCAGGGTCAAAGGGCAGGCAGCCAGTGGGTAGCAATTCAAATCCAGGTTTGTCTCCCTGACACCTGAGTCACTCTGCTCACCTCCCAGGCCTGATAGATAGCAGGACCTCGGGCCAGGTTCTCCCAGAGACCTGGAGCAGGGGTGGCTGTTCCCTTTGCTGAGCTCCTCACCGCGGGCTCTCCCTTCCCCAGCCCAGCCAAGGGCATGCTCCGTGTCTGCCCCACTGAAACCTGGCCCTTCTCTCCTCTTCGGGGCCTTGCATGGTGCTGGGCACTTCCTCGGTGCTCAGTGAATACATGCTGATTGACTGACTTAGAACTGTGAGGTCAGACCCCAACAAGGACCACCCAAATAGAAGACAGCTGAGGGAGCCGGGGAGGTTGAAACCCTCGCCAAGTCGTTGAATAATTACCCGCAAGGGAGGGAGTGATACAATGAATGATGCCATTTAAAAAGCAAAGAGCCCCTGCTCTGTGGTGGCTTTTCCTTGTGCCTCTGATTTTGAATTAGTCTGTGTATCTGGGAGGATTCGTCCAGCAGGCTGACGGTTAAGCAGCTGAGATTTGCACCCAGACGGACCTGGTTTCTGGTCGTGGCCGTGACCCCTTCTTGCCTGTTTGATCTTCACTAAGTGACTCCACCTTTCTGAATGCGGGTCTTTTCCTCTGTTAAATGGGGTTTTAAAGAGCTCCTTGTGGCGTAGAAGAATTAAATGATGAGAAACCTGTCATGTTCTTGCTCTTTGGAGAGAGCCTAGCAAATAGTAAATGCTAGCTGCCCTGGGGGGAGGGGCCCGGGGGAGGGGCCCTTAGGTGCTGTCAATTTAGCTTCCTGATTGTGAGAGCTGGTGGCTGAGCCTGGAGAAGCAGAGTGAGGCTCTTTGGAGCTGAGTGTCCTTGAGGCCTGGCTGCCCGGGGAACAGAGCTTATGGCCCAGGGTCTGATTCCCTGGGCACCCCTGAAGAAAGGGCTCCCACAGAAATAAACTCCCGGAGGCCTGCCTGCCTCCAGGAAGGGGACAAGCATTTCCTGCCCTCTCAGGCTGCTCTTATCTGTCCATGAACGCCTGGCGGGCGTCCAGGGCCGGCCTGACTCCTGGCTGACCGAGATGACGTCACCCTATGTCCTCGGAGGGACTAATAGAGCTCTTTTCTGAAACCACGCGGCAAGCTGGCCTCTTCGGAAAGTCCCACTGGCCTTTCCTCAATGAGGACAAATGAGTGCCTCCCAATCAGCTGCCGGGGAAGGGCAGCTGGAACCCTTCCGGGCTCTTTCATTGGGCGAGGTCCTGATGGACACTTCTCCCCCTGGAAGAATCCTTGCGGGAAGGAGCCGGCAGAGCTGACGTCAGCGCGTTCATGAGTCTGTCACCGGAATCCAGATATGCATGCAGTTCCTCTCCTGTATGGCGACGGCAGTATGTTTGTGCTGAGAGCATCCATTAGTAATAAAAATAGTAATAACAACTAGCATTGATTTAGCCCTGGCCGCATGCCAGGCTCTGTCCTAAACAGTGTATATGGATCCTCACTCTCAATCCTCACATCATCCCCTATGAGCGCTTATTAACGTCTCACAGGGTAAGCCAACCTTAGCCCCACTTTACAGAGGAGGAGACCGAGGTTCAGAGACCTTAACCACCTTGCTCAGGCTCGCACAGCTCAGTGTGGGGTTGAGAGAGGGAGTGGGTGTGCCCACGATTCCGAAGCTGGGAGACACAAAGGTTAGACCTGAGGGGTTCATTTCTAATTCTCTTGATTCCAGCTCAGGCTTCCCAGAAGCCTGCTTCATTTGGGTCGTTTGTAAAGAATCCCTTTATCTTTGGGGTTGGTGAGGGTTCCTCCGTGGAGGGAAAAGACCTTGGGAAGCCCCGTCCTCTGCTTCATCAAACCTCGGCATGGTCTGGCCTTGCTGGGCTGTGCTGGGCTTTGATGGAGACCAACTTCTCCAGGGAGGCTGCCCCATGTGCTCAGAGGTTCCTGAGTTGGATAGAAACTGCTCCTCTATTTGCCCTTCCTCTGTGGTCCTGCTGGGTGGCACTTGGCATGGTGGCTGAAGACACATAATCAAGACCACCCGGGTACAAATAGACAGACCACCCCTGGACAAATCCCACTTCGGCCACCTACTAGCTGTATGACCTTGGAAACGGTCCTGAACCTCTTCTTGCCTTGGTTTCCTAACTGCAACACGAGGATAGTAATGGGACCTACTTCACAGAGCAGTTATGAGCAATCAGCGAGTTAATACATGGCAAGTACTGGGAACAATGCTTGGCACCACATAAGTTTGCTAATTGTTATTTATTCCATGGCTACCAATTGTCGCTTTTATTGTCCTTTCCCCCGTTTCTGGAAGCTCCTTGGGAGCAGATCAGGCCAGTGTCTCCCATGCCCAGGCGAGCAGGCCTGGCCTTCAAGTAGGGACTTAGTGTGTGATGGATGAGAGAGAGTGTGATCAGAGCCCTGAGCTGAATGAAGGCTCTTGAGGAAGACACCTTGGGCCAACTTCCAAAGGTCTTCCTTGATGGCCAGCCCATGTAGATGTCAGTGATGGCCGGGGGGCTTGTCTGGCTCACAGAGTAGGTCTGTTGCAGCATGCTTCAAACCCAGGTCTCCTGGCTCCAGTCCTGGTCTCCAGCCACAGCTCCAACCTACCTACAAGTTCCAGTAGCTGCTGCTCGTTGTTTCATAGCCAGACCTACTTCACAGAGTAGTTCTACGTCACAGAAAAGAGCTATATTAGTCCCTCCGCGGACATAGGGTGACGTCATCTCAGTCACCCCTACTGGCCCCACCTGTGTGTTTGCTTAAAATAAAGGAGGATGAGTCCTTTGGAAGCTCAACCAGAAGATGAAAACGGAAAAAGTCGCCTAAGAGGACACAAAATATCCTTCAAGGCGGTTGAAATGTTGTATATACATTGAATAAATACGAATTTGGAGCAAATGTGTCCTTAGATAAAGAGAAGAAAGACTCTGAGTGAGACAAAGGCTGGGGTGAGTGGAGGCCGGTGTGGCCAAAGCAGACAGATGTTCTTGGCAGGAGGGTCGTCACTCTCACATTGACTTCACCTCATGAGTCCTCGGGGCCTTTAACACAAGAATCCCCGGGAGTGGTCTTCCTGATGCTTGTGCTGTCCTGCGGCCCATCCCGCCCTGGCTAGGAGTCGGGTCCCCGAGGATCTGAAGAACTCAAACTGGGCCCTAGACATCGAGGTCGCTCTCTAGATTGGCCAGCGTTCTAGAAACTTCTGCTGATCTTCGAGCTCTTGATGAACACCCCCAACCCCAGCTAAAGATTCCAGAGGCTCCTTCTAACTTCCACATAACATTTTAAAATTTCAGAGAGATCATGCAGGGATTCGGAATTCTGGCAAATCCCTTCAGTGTTTCAGGATTTCTGAGAGCTGCCCCCAGTTCTAATGTTCTGAGGTACCAGAGACCATCTTCTAAGTCTAACTCTTCTGGAGAACTTACGACCTTATTTCATGGGGCCAAAGAACCCCAAATCCCAGCATTCTGGGGGAGGCCTATAGCTTTCAGGGTTCCAGACGTGTCCTCTGCAATTCACACATTCTCAGGAAGGACCACTGGATTCGAAGATCCTGAGACGTTACTGGGTCCCATGGAATTCCTAGTGCTTAGGGGTCTGGACAAGTGGCAGCTCTAGAGTGAGCCTGTGACTGGGAGATGGGGGAAGTGGAGACGTATCCCCTTGCGTCTGGTGTCTATCTCTGGGAAAGTAAGTAGGAGCTTTGCTGAGTTGGAACTAGGGAACTGGAAAATCGTGGCTGGTTCCAATGGGAAAAGGAATCATCCAAACACAAATGAACCGGCAACAGCCAGGGCCCCCCTGGGTGGTCCCTGTCCACCCTCCCAAAGCAGCTAAGGAAAGTCTCACGCTCGGTGCCAGGGGCTTTCCCTGCCTGAGGCCGGAGACCTCCCAGCAAGCAGGGCCACGATGCAGAGAGTGAGATAAGGGCTCTGGGCAGGGGAGGAGCCCAGGCTCACACATATGGAGCCACCCAAGCTGATGTGGCATCAAAGTGACCGAGAACAGGAAAAGTGACTTTATGGCATGTCAGGCTCATCCTCCTCCCCTCCCTAGGCCCTCTGCACAAATGTCACCTGCATGAGACCGTTCCTGCCCCTGATGTGGAGCTGCACCTGCCCTGGCCGAGGGGCCTCCCCACCGTTTTGCTCCACAGCGTTTATCCCTGACCTCCCACGCATGTTGCCCATTTTCTTTTCGTCCATGAGGATAAGGATCCTTATGCTTTGTTCAATGCTGGCCCAAAGTAGGTTCTCAATAAATATTTTTAAAATCCAGATGGTCAATTCCATCGAATTGTCTTGTTGACTACAAGTTGCTTTTGGTTAAGTCTTCTGCAATAGGCAAAGCTTCGTGCTGTCCTCCTTCCACATAGCAGTGGATTTAACCCCGTGACCACCCCGAGAGGGGCTATTACTGTGTCCATTCTGCAGATGAGGCCACTCAGGCTCACAGCAGCTAAGCCACCTGCCCGGGATCACTCCTGGTAAGTGATGACGCCGGGATTTGAACTTGTGGGCTTAACCACAGCTACCTCCATCTGCCCAGCTGCCTGTGGTGTCTGCCGTTACCTCACCGCCCTGGGCTCTGCCTCCATGGTCACTGTCCATCCACAGTTTTCACTGTTAAACACAATCTTGCCTTTTGATTCCTGGCTGCTGGGGGCTCCAACCTGGGCTGACCCTGCTGGCCCATTTCAGGGACAAGCCCTGCAGAAGACTCAGTCAGAGGCCCTACAGTGTGGACGGCTTTGAGAGGCTAAGTAGCCTGCCCCAAGTCACACAGCATGCTCAAGTGTTGCTGTGAGGCACCTTGCTTTAGTCTGCGGGTCCTCACTTCTCTTGGGACAGGAGAGCATAATTAGGGCTATTTCCCAGCATGGTGGGTAGGAGAGCACTGGGTCTTTTCTTGCTTGGTCTTGCACTGGGCAGTGGGGTGGGACACGTTTTCTCGGGCCATGCCTGTGGGCAAGCCTGAGCATTCTCCAGTGACTGCCACCCCCTGCTTAGGGCATCCCCGGCTCCCTGCTCCTTCCCAGTGCTCCCCAAGCCCGTGGCTGAAGCTGGCTGCTTGAGGCCTCGCAAGAGCCCAGGTCTCAGGGGACTCTGACACGAGGCCCGGCTCAGGTACTTCTGGTGGAGGAGTTTCATCGCCTCCCTGCACTGGTCATGTTACTGGTGCCCCTGCCTCCGGCTCACCATCACCAATCAGCCCACCTGCCACAGCGGCTAGTGTGACCCAAATGCAAATCTAAGCTGGTGACTCCTCAGGACCCCTCTGTGGCTCTCCTCTGTCCTCCAGACAAGCCCAAGCTCCGATGTGACCCACAAGGCCGTGCTCTGCCTGCTGCTGGCCACCTTTGGAACATCAGGGTCTCTGGGCCTTTGCCTCCACAGCCCCTCCCTCCACCTGCTGTTCACCTCCTGGGCCTTTATCATAAGCTCTTCGGCAAACCTTCTTTGACTCCCTCGACAATTTCTGAGTGGGGGGCCTTCCTCCCTGCTTCCCCTTCAAAGCACACGTGTGAGGTTGTCAATGTCTGTCTCCCCCACCAGACTGTGAGCTCCCGGGCCAAAGCCAGCTTGCTCCTTGTCAGTCTTTTCACCACCTGGATTTGGAGTGGATGCCGGTGGTGTTCCTGAGAGCGAGTGTCAGAACCAGCCAAGGAATTAGCCATCTGGGCCTCAGTTTCCCTAACTGTAAAATGGGACAGTTAGGTTAGCTGTGTGGCTCTTTTTATAATGAGGTCCTCCCACTGGCACCTCCAATTTCTCCTGTCATGTCCGGGCTTCCCCTTAATTGTAGACCCACTGCACCTGGCTAAGCATGTACCAGGAGTCCTGAGGTTCCTCACCTCCCTGACCCTCACTAGAGCTCAACAGGACAGGGAACTATGCCCCGCATCCGACTGACTGAAAGCCAGAAAGTGGTTTGAGGAGGGTGCAGGGCTTGCTCAGGATCTCAGAGGAGGCCTGTGGCACCAGAACGCAGGGCTCATGGTCCCTCAGGCACCAGGCCACGTGCAGAGGCACAGAGAAGCAAGCCCACCACCTGCCCCAGCTCAAGACCAACTCCATTTCCTTCAGGTCTCCTTCCTGGAGGTGCTCATCATTCGATTCCCCATGCTGTCCCAGTGGCGCATAATAGTTGCTCAGTTAAAATGCGTGTGATACACGTAAGGAGATGGAACCTGGAATATTCCTGATCAGAAGGGGACACACACTTCTGCCGAGTCCTTGCCTTCTCTTCCTCAGGCTCCCCCGAGAACCCCTCGTCTGGGATGTCCCCATGGGAAGTGAGTGACCACCCAAAGGACAGGACCAGCCAGACTGAGCCGAGACCTCTTTATTGTCATGTACGTTTCGTCACCTCCTGCCTGGCTTCTCCTGAACCCAGTCTCATTACCCACAGTCTGGGGTGGCACCCTTCCTTTACTCCCCCAAACGGCCCTCCAGCCGTCACCCCGACCCTCAGGAATGGTCCTTGCCCAGCCAGGCTGCAGAACGGATGGGCAGCTGCTATCCCCATTTAATAGACGGAGAGACTGAAGCCCCAGAGCAGAGAGCCCGGCCAAGGTCACACGCCATCTTCCGTGTTCCCATTTTGCTCAGCAGGGAGGGCGGGCTCGGCTAGGGCTCCGTTTGCTCTCGCACGTGGGTGGCTGGCTCCGGCCACGCCGCAGGGAGCTGCCGATCTGGTCTCTGAGGGCCTCCAGCCTCCGCGCCAGGTTTGGAACCGTGGCCCCACCTGAGGGATACGGTGACACTCGAGGGCCGCACTACCCTGGGGTCATCAGGTCCCACATCCTCTGAGGAAGCTTCAGATGGTACCTACTCGCCCCCCCCTCAGCCCCCCACCTCCATACACCCTGGGCTTTGGTATACATCTGGGCATGAAGGTGGCCCTAGGAAGAGAATTCCAAGTTTGGAAACTAGAAAGACCTTAGGAATTACCTCCTAACATGTGCCCTATTTCAGAAATGGAAAGACTATGTTCCGGAGAGGGTGCGCTCTGGCCCAAGATCACAGAAAACCCCAGGAGCTCCTCCCTCTTCCCCTTCTTCACCTCTCAGCACTGGCGACGTGTTCGGGGGCCCCGCGGGCAGGGGAGGTGCAGAAGGTACCACCTCCTCCTCAGTGAGTATCTCCGCCAAGACTCGGGTCTGAGTCCAGTCGCCGTGACTCCTGGGCCAGGGGCAGTTGGGTGGTGGGAGGTGAGCCTTCAAGTGCCCAGGCCTCCTGCCCCCCCCGCCCCGCACCCCAGTGCCCCAGGCTGGGCTCACCTCTCTCTGGGGCACTTGGCAGAGCCAGGGCTGCATGGGGGCACCCAGGGTGGGGGCCGGGCAGACAGGGGAATGCCGTCGGGGGCCTTAGGGCCAAACACCTGCAAGAAATACCACAGCCGACACTGGTGACCTCAGCCCTGCCTCTCTGTGCCCCACCTCCAGGTGCTGATCACAATGCACCAGCCCTACCACACCTGCCCCAGGTGGCACCAAGACTGCCAGATGGGCATAAAGGGGTGGGGTCTTGGTTACGTCTTGGGCACAGAATCCTCAGTGCCCAGAACAGGGGCTGGCACAAAGCAAGGAGCTTAGAGGAGAGTCAGTGAGCGAGAGAGTGAAGGAGTGAATGAGCAAATGCATAAATGAGCAGCATGTGAGTGAAGGAAGGAATAAGCAAATGCAGAGCGAGTTCCTAAAAGAAGGCAGGATGGAAGAGGGAGGCGAGGTAAACAGTGATTCTAAACCCTGGGCAGGAGCCCAATCAGCCACTTTCCCCATGGCCTCCAGCTCTCCTAGACTCCCCTCACCCCCACGTGGCCTTTCCTACCTGGGGCAGGTGGAGCTCCCTCCGTGGGCAGGCCCAGTGGGCCAGTGGGGCTCGGCACAGGGGGCAGAGGTGGCAGCAGGGGCAGGAGCAGAGGGGTGGCAGGGCCTGCAAGAGGGCATGTCAGAGGCTCCCTGTCACCCCTGCTCCTCCCCCTTCCACTGGGCAGACTCACATGGCGGGAGGGAGCTGGCACCATCGCACAGGGACATGGTGGGGCTGGGCCAAGGGGGGGCTGGTGGAGGTAGCAGGTAGAGAGGAGGCGCCTGGAAAGAACAGGGGGTCTGTGCCTGCAGCCCTCCACCCTACCACCAGGCTGGTCCCCACATCCCCCGTTTTAACAAATACCCCGGGGCACTACGGCGTGCCAGGCACCGTTCGCAGTGCTCAACATATGAACTCATTCGATCCAACCTTTAAAACAGCCCTATTCGGTGGGCACCGTATCACCCCCATGTTACAGCTGAGGAAACCCGGCAGTGAGAGGCGGCATGACTCACCAAGGTCACCCAGCTAGTAGGCGCCAGAGCTGGAATTGGAACCCAAGTGGTCTGAATCCAGAGGTCAGACCCTTAACCGTTCCCTTTCCCACCTGCCCGCTGTCCCAAGGCCTGCCCCTGGGCTAGTGGCCGTGCTCACCGCTCCAGCTCGAGGACCTGCTGGGCCAGGACGCGCTGCTCATCCCGGGCCAGGTCCCGGCTACTCTGCAGCTGGCTCTTTTCCTTCCTGGGAAGAGGAGGCCGCAGGGAGGTGACAGGAAGCAGGGCCGGTGGGGTGTCAGTCAGCCCCGCACTGCAGTGCAGTATGAGCCCCAGCAGGTCGGTGGGGCCAGAACGGAGTCAGGGAGCGGGGAGGGGGCCGCATGGCAGAAGCAGCCCAGCAGTGAGGGGTGGGCACGGAGTCCCCAGGCGAGGCCCTACCTGAGCCTCTCATTCTCCAGCATGAACTCCTGGAGCATCCCATAGAGGTTCTGCTGGGCCCAGGCCACGCGGGTCCCACTGAATCCAGGGGCTGCAGGGAAGGGGGAGATGGCTGGGTCCCCAGGAGCCCAGGTGCTCTCCACGCCCCACCTGCACCCCCAGGGAGCTCATACCCTTAAGGTCCATCTGGCTCAGTTGGGACCGTAGAAGCCGGTTCTCCGCCTGGAGCTGCAATATCTCCGTTTCCAGGCGCTGGGGCTGCTTTGCCATAGGGGACTGCAGAGAGAGGGCCCGGAGCTGCCATCTGCAGTACCACAAGTTGTGCAAGGGCTCCGGGAGTGGGGAGCGAGGGAGCCTAGAAGCCAGCCATGCTTCCCTCACAGGCTTTGCATCCTGGCACAAGGCTACGTCCACCTGGAGGGGCCACCTTGTCCCTATGGCCTCCGCTGCGTGCCAGCAGGGCCCCCTCTAAGCAGGACCCTGCTCCAAGTCCAACCCAAAGTAAGTAAGTTCTGTTCAAATCTTGGTTCAGAACCCAAACAAGACTCCACATCAGACCCCAACTCAACTCAGACTTCATCATGATACCACTTGGGATCCAGGCTGGACCCTGAATCATATCCCAAATCAGACTCCAATCTGAGACCTGCCACAACTCTGACCGTGACCCTGACCCTGACCCATCCTACCCAGTCATGGCCCCATCATCAAGATTTCAACTCTCATCCTAACTCTGACTCAATCCCAGATTTCAACTGTGACACCAACTCAGGTTCCAACTGCTGCCTGACCCCAACCATCGCCCCCGCCACCCCTCGGCCTGTGTCTGCCTCCGTTCACCTTGGGGGCCTGCGGCCGAGTGGTGACCCGCTGAGCTCGGCTGGCGTATCGCAGGGTGCTGAGGGTCTCAGGAAGGCACTGGGCTGAGGGCGACACGCAGGCCACCTGGGGAGGATGCCCCTGAGTGTTCCTCTCTGGGAGCCCCTCCCTCAAGCCCCACTCTTCCCTGCCAGCCCCCCTCGGGTACCATGAGGGTGACCCCGCGCCCCCCCAGTGAGTCCGCCAGCAGCTTCGTGAGCTTGCTGTCTCGAAAGGGGATGTGGCTTTGCTTCCGCCGCGGGTCCAGCAGCAGGGAGATGCAGTGGCCTGGGTGGGAAGAGAAGGCCCAGCGAGGTTATACCCCTTGCCCAAGGCCGCGCAGCTGGTCTGTACAGAGCAGGGACCTGCACCCACACCCCAATGCCCAACACAGGGCCTGGCACTCAGCAGGGGCTCAGGAAATGTCTAGCAAATGGACTGAATGGAGAGGCGCTCCCTGCACGTCTCCTCAGCACGCGGCTGAGGAAGGCCCTCGGGGGTGGAGGTGGGGAGATGGGTCTGTCCCTTCTTCCCCTTGCTGGGCCTCCGCTTTCCCAGCTGCACGAGGACAGGCTGGGTGTCTGAGGGCTCATGCTCTGCACTTGAGGGTGCCTACCTCCCAGGTTAGAAGGCAGCTTTATTCTAATAGAATCAAGTTTATGGGGTTTCTAGATTCACCAACAATGTTCTAAGCGGGGAGACCCGAGTCAACAGCAGGCTGAGGCCGGAAGGAGGCCTGTGGCCCCTGGCTCACAGCTCTTCATGTATTACATCCCCTGTCTCCTCCTCCCCCTCCCCTGCTCCCCTCCTCCTTCACAGCTACAGGCCGGGCAAGAGGAGGACTCACCCAGCGCCAGCAGGCTGCGGTTGATGCTGTTGGCCTCCAGCATCAGCTCCCCACGGGATCCGGTGGCCGCCACCTTCTCGCTGCCAGCCAGGTCTACAAAGCACAACTTCCCACCGGCCGGGTGTTCCCCGGGATCCACGGGAGGCATCTGCTGGGAGGGGGATCAGGGCTTGGTTTCCACGACGTCTTCCTGTGCACACCCACGTTGCTTTATACACCCTGAGGCGGACCCTGGCTGAGGACCCGGCGCCCGCTCCTTCCCCAGGCTGGGCCACTCACGCTTTGGCGGCCGATATGGAGTGTGAGCAGGGCGTGGCTTCGGCTGGAGGCCTGGTTCAGGGTGTGAGCTGAGCTCCTCCGACGGCTAAGACCTGGAGGGGGAAGCAGCTGGAGCTGGGCCTGGCAGGAGGAGCAATAGCAGAAAAGGAGCAAAGGCTCCTGGGGAGGGAGGGGCCAGCCTGTGTAAAGGCTCCACGCAGGGAAAGAATGGTGGATGTGGGGTCTGGCTCTAGCACGAGCAGGTGAGAGGGGTATCGACTGAACTGGGTGGAAGAACGTCAGTCAGAGTCACAGTTGATAAACGTCCCTCAAACTGCCGTGTGAAGGGCGGAGAGCGAGCAGAGAGATCAGCTGGCATAACGCTGGCAGGAGTCTGGAGTCTCACCCAGGACCAGCCAGCAGGCTGCGGGTGAATAATGAGATATCTCATAAACAATGGATGAATGAATGAGACTGGAACAGAGGGCCCTATAGGCTAGGTTATAGGAGTGACCTTTGCCCTCAGGACATTGGAAGGGTCTGGAAGGTCTGGAGGGGAAGAGGGATGTGGTTTGCTGCAAGGAAGAGCACAGATTGGGACGGAGGAGCCTTGAGTTGGGAAGATTTCTCTAGGAAGGAAAAACAACACAACAACAACAGAGGCTGACTGAGGCAGGGGTCCTGGACTGGAAAGAGGGTGGGCCCAGAAAGAGTTTGAAAGGCAGAATCAGCAGGAGGTCTGGGTGGGATGGGGGACATCCTGGGCAGTGTCTGAACTGTTGTTTTGCTGGCCCTTAGCTCCCACAGGGGTCATCTCTGGTCACCCACAGCTCCAGCCAGGGCCCCCCAGTGCATTCAGTGAGCAGTAGAGGGACGGGCTTCCCTTGTACCCCCAAGGCTCCCGAGACAGCACGTACCCATCTGCAGAAGTTCCATCAGGGCCCCCAGACTCCCAAACTCCACCACCCGCAGCTGCTCCACATAGAAGCCCCGAGTCTTGTTCCAACGAACAGGGAGGGGCCGGGGAGACCCCAGGCTCAGCAAGTCTAGAACCTGGGAGATGAGAGTGTCGTGTGAGGGAAGGGGCCCGAGTCCAACTCTTACCAACATCAGCCCCCCCCCCCCCCCCCCCCCCCCCCCCCCCCAGCTCTGCCCCTCGACACAAGCTCCTTGGGAAGCAAGGCCTCCAGTCCATTGTGCGCTTTCATTCATCTCCGTCCGCACCTGCTCATTGTAGATCTCCAGGTAGGAGGCGTGGAGGCTGACTGGAGCGCCCAAGTGCTGCACACGGTCCAACAGCCAGGCGAAGGTCCTCTGCATGATGCCAGCCAGGCTGGGGGGTACA